GCCCCGCCCGCACGGGGCGGGACCGCCCGCCCGCCGCCGCCGGTGCGCGGCCCCGGCCCGGCCGCCGGGGAGCGAGGCCACTGGTGCCCGCGCGGCCGCGGAGCCCCGCCCTCCCCGCGCCCTTGCCGAGGCTTCCGCGCCAGCGCCGGGGATGAGCCCCAAACTCGATCCCGGCAGCCGGGCCCGCGCGGGTGCTGGACCAGACTGGCCACCCGCGTGGACCCCTGAGCTCCAGAGCCGGGGCAGATGGTGCAGGGGGGGAGCGGTCCGAGCCTCCTGGTCCTACGGGATCCACTCTCCGCCCCACTCTCTGGGGCTGTGGGGTGGGAAAGGACAGGTGGAGGCTGACCCACCAGGCCAGCGGAAACCCACCAGGAGAGGAAAAGTGAACACGGACCCAGTCCCCAGGTCATGCTCCTCGGAGCCCAGAATAGATGCACCATCCCCAAATCCCAGCTGCCCCATCTCTACTCTAGCCCCTCACCAGAATCTTGTAGATGAGCAGCTGGGGTCTGGAGAGGGAAGGGCATCAGCACAGGTATGCTCCCGTGGACATGCACACAGAGTCCAGAGCTGGGAAGCCCCAGGGGCCTGAACCAGCAGCCAGGGTGGTGAACTTGGTTCACAGGACATGAGCTCTGTCTGCTGGGCTCTCGCTGTGTCCCCAGTGCCTGAAATGACTTTTGACACATATTGATGCTCAGTAAATATTTGCTGAATGAACAAATGAAGGAGCATTTATTAGGAGCTTACTTTGTGCTGGGCCCTTGAAGTAGAGAGACAAGGAGGACCAGGCCCTGGGGTTTCACGGCTCTTGTCTTGGTGTGTGTGTGCATGTCTGTGTGAGTGTGTGCACACACGTCGGTACATATGTGTTTCTGTGTATGCATCTGGATGATATGCATGTATATGTGTAAGTGTGCGTATGTTTGTGTGCATGAGTGTGAGTGTATGTGCTTGCATGTGTCTCATGTATTGTGTGTGCTTGTGCCTATGTGCCTGTGCACGTGTGTTCATCTGTGTCAATGTGTGTGTGTCTCTGGGTGGCCACGAGCCCAGGTATGTGTGTGAGTGCACACATGTACATGTGTCTGCATGTGTTTGTGCGTGTGCCTGTCCACATGTGTGAGCACAGATGTGCATATGTGTGTATGGTGTGTGTTCAGTGTGCATGTATCTGTTCATGTGCTCCAGCAATTGCATGTCTCTGTGTGTTCATGGGTACATGTCTGCACACATGTGTTTGTGTGTGCATGTTCGTGTGTGCCTGTCTGTGCATGTGTGTGTGTTGGGTGGGACTCTGGGGGTCCTGGCACCTTGTCCTGTGCTCTCTACTCCAAACGTGCATGTCCGTGCAGAAGGCACCTCCCATCCACTAGGAGACTTCCTGCCTCTTGCCATTTGCTGACGGGAGCTGAGAGCTCCTTTCCCGGCTGAATCTCTCTTTCTTCTTGAGACATTTGTCTCAAAAAAAAAAATTCAGAGGACACTAGCAGGAAGGACCCAGCCACTGGGACCGTGGCCAGTGTGCTGCAGGGTGCTCACCGTGGTGGCGTGTTCCCAGATGGAGCCTGGGGACACTGTTTTAATCCTCCCTCCAGGAGATTCTCCAGATGCAGTGAGTCTGAGGGAAACTGGCCTGCTCCACTATTCCCAGTCCCTCCTTCAGAAATGCCATTCTCTTCTGTTAATGCAGTGCCCGGTTGTAGGACGTATTTTGCAAGGACCAGCTTTTGGCGTCACCACACAGAGCACCAGCATTGGCCTGCGCTGGCTCTGCACCCTGACTCACAGCCACCACACAGAGGCACAGACTTGCTTTACCTGATTTCCCATAAGAGGAAACTGAGGCAGCAAGGGAATAAATCCTTCCTCAAGGTCATGTCTATGGCAAAGCCTGGATCTGGGATTTAAGCCCAGACAATTTGGCTCCAGAATTGAATTTATTAGCCACTGCTGCTTGAGACAAAAATCAAGTACTTTTCATTATATGTTTATTGAAAGCGAAGCTGAAGTGTTTTGCGGGGGAAAGCATTACTCTGCTCGTGTGGACACATCGTCCTGCCTTCTAAGACCTAGCAGGAGATGGTGCGTCCTACGCAGGCACCCCCATTTGGCTAACATTCACTGGACACAAGTGCCTGGGAGGAGGCTGGCTTGATGCTCTGCAGGTGGGGCCTTTGCCGCGAGTCAAACCAGAGCAGAGCCCCTGGACCCAGTACAGTGACAGGGACGAGGTGGCTCAGCAGGGAGCCACCAGCCCTGCTTGGTCATGGTGCCCACAGGGCCTTCCTCCTGCACTGCCCTCCATGGTGAGCCCTGGCAGTCCTGGACTTCTTGGGATGGCCAGTCCCTTTAGAGCCCCGAGGCCTTGTGTTCAGAGTGTCAAGAGCCTGATAGGGATACCACCTGGGGAGGCCCAGTGCCCCCAGGGAGCCACAGGGCCAGTCCCCAACACCCAGGTGCAGCACTTATGCCAGGCGTGGCCGCCGCAGGGAACACCCGGCCTGCCAAGGAGTGGGGTCCGGGCTGAGCCTCGGCTGTCTCACAGGCTCTGCTCAGAGGGCCATCTGAGCCGTCCTGCCTCTTCCCCTGGACCTCAGACAGAGCTGGGGTCGCCGTGCTGGTTCTCGTCTCTGCTACCATGAGAGGCCACAGTCTGCCTGGGCTTCGGGCGACTCAGGCGACACCCCAGCCTGGGGGCCAGGGTGGGCTCTGCTGGGTAACATGCGGCCCCTGGGGCTGTCCTGGCAACGGGCTGGCTGCCTCTCCTGCCCCGGGTCACCGTGCACAGGAAGGCTGCCCACTGGAGCCACTCGGGGAGCAGCCAGCAACCAAGGGAGAGCTGGAGGTCCCCAGCTGTCCCCAGCCACCACCATCAGCCATGGCAATGCCTGCTGGCCCCTCTCCTGATACCCTGGTCAGAGCAACTGGGTGGACCATTGGCACAAGGCCTGCCTGCTTGGCAAAGGACCCTGGGGATGGTCTGGTGTCAGGCGCCCTCAGCCCCACAGCCCCTCGCAGCCAATCAGCACTGTGTCCCCAGGGCTGACCATGTGATGTGTGATGGGGCTGGTGCTCAGCACAGCCATTTTATAGAGGGGACCCTGAGGCAATGACCACTGGGGTGCCCTTGGTGTCCCTGAGGAGACGGGACTCAGGGTACTTGTCCCTGCGAGCTGAGACCCTGTGGGAATCGAGACTCCACTGATGCTGGTGAAACGATTCCCCAAACCCCAGCAGAGCGAGTCCAGCAGCCACCTTCACGGGATGTTGCTGACCTCCAGGTGCTGAGCCCCAGGTTCTGTGCCCTGTCCCCACCCTGAGCCCCGACTCCTTGCAGCAGTCAGGTCTGACTGCAGGGCCCAGAGAGTCGGCAGAGAAGTCTGCAGCTGCTTCCTCCTTGGGGGGGCCACTGCTGGCCGCCCCAGTGACAGCTGGTGGCCCACAGCCCATTAACCTGCAGATGGCCGCCATCCTCAGGCAGGTGACGGGGCACAGCAGGCTGAGGAGCGGAGAGGAGAGAGCCGCACACCCTGTAGGCCACCCCACCTCCTGCCTTCTCAGGAAGAAACGGGGCCCAGCAGGTCAGCAGAAGGAAGAGCTGTGCCCAGGGGAGAGGCAGAAACAGAGACAGAGATAGTGATAGAGATACAGAGACAGAGAGAGACCAAGATGGAGATTCAGAGACAGAGAAAGACAGAGATAGAAAGAGAAGCAGAGACAGAGAGAGATACAGGGACAGAGAGAGACAGAGACAGAGACTAAGACATACAGAGACAGAGACTGAGATAGTGATACAGAGAGAGACAGAGAGAGATAGTGATAGAGATACAGAGACAGAGACAAAGATACAGAGAGAGAGATAGTGATAGAGATATAGAGACAGAGAGAGACAGAGACTGAGATAGTGATAGAGATAAAGAAAGAGACAGAGATAGAGACAGAGATACAGCTAGATATAGACAAATACAGAGAGACAGAGACAGAGATACAGAGACAGAGATAGAAATACACAGAGATAGAGATGCAGAGACAGAGAGACCAAGACAGAGGTACAGAGACCAAGACTGAGATAGTGATACAGAGACAGAGAGAGACTGAGATAAAGAGACAGAGACCGAGATAGTGACACAGAGACAGAGAGAGAGATAGTGATAGAGATAACAGAGACAGAGACAGACCAAGATGGAGATACAGAGACTGAGACAGAGACAGTGATAGAGATACAGAGAAAGAGTCTGAGATAGTGATACAGAGACAGAGACTGAGATACAGAGACAGAGACCGAGACTGAGATAGAGATAAAGAAAGAGAGACAGAGATAGAGACAGAGATACAGCTAGATATAGACAAATACAGAGAGACAAAGATAGTGATACAGAGACAGAGAGAGACTG